TCTCCGCATCTGCGCTGGCGACACCACCCGCAGCCCGCGCCGCCAGTCCAGCTTCAACACCCGCTTCCGCATCGGCGGATGAGGTAAGCGAGCAACACCTCGACCGGACGCACGGTCCATTTGCAAGATGTGCTGGGCCAATTGGATTCGGTAGCCGGCATCTTCACCTGACCTTCCTCGTCCAACCACTCGTTCGCGCGCTCTCGCTTCCTGCTGCACCGCGCAACAGTTGTTTCGGTGGCTAGCCAATCAGAGCTTCCGAGACTCATTTCATCAAGGTAAGGTACACCTGATTGAGGTGGGCACTGAGGAGGATACAGACAATCCCATCAGATAAGGTAATCGGCAGCCCAGAAGCATCTTGTGATGGGGAAAAACAGACGTCCATATCAGACCCGAATGAGAGTCTTGCTACGATCGCCAATGTTTACACTGCCACTCCAAACGGCACCAAGCGGGATCATCGCAGCTCTCTCCGTCTTAGCAAATCGGAGAATACGCAACGTTCCTTGGTCCTTGGGGCACTTCCCCTGGAACGGTGGGGAATTGGCTTGCGGGAACGCGGGCGCTTGAGAAACATTGTCTCGCCCAAACGGTTGGCTCATTTTCTACTGCTCTTCCTTCTTGCTTCCCTTTCAATTCTTATCCGTCTGTTCTGCGGGGATATCATTTCCTTTTCATGGTGGACCGCCGCCTCTCTCTTCCAGTCTCTCCATAAGGTACCCAGACTCACGCACGTCATACCGCCCGTTTACATGCCTCCAAATCTGCTGCCATACCTTATCTCCTTACACAAATGTACGAGGTGTCATTCGGACCCGATTGCACCTGTCGCTAATGCCCGCTGGTTGAGGTTCTGCTTCTGTTTCTGTTTTTGACGTTCATCGTCCGTTTCTGCTGCTGACGACGCCGCCGACGACGCCCAGGGCTGCGGCTTCTCTGCTCCACAGGAAGCCAAACAGGGCCATCGTTGTTGAGACGGTTTATGCTTGAAGCCCCAATGCGGCTGGTCTTTTCTTATCACTCACGGCCTTATAAGATGGACTAGTCGGTTCGTGGTCGGCCGATGCGTCCATGCGCTCTCAGATGCGATCGCGAGGGTCCATCCTGTTTGTTTTCTCGGCTCGGACCTGGACTCTCCCTGCTCCAACACGAGCCTCACTACCGTTCCGCGTCTCTCCCGTCCAGTCTCTCTTCCTCTCCCGCGCGTTCCCTCCCTCTACCTTATGGATACCTACATGGTAGGCCACGATCAGAGTTGGAAGGCGCCGCGTGGCCCTTCTCTCCGGCTCTCGTCTGCTTCAGGCCTGCGCTAGAGCTCAAGCGCAAGCTCACCAGAATGTCGCATCTTATTCTCAGGCGCGCCATCTCATTGCAGCATTCTTTTTGGCGATTTAGCAGCCAGGCTAACATGTAGGTTAATTTACCAACATTCCGCGCGCATTCCATCGAAGCCTCGGTCTCAGCGCCACGGCTGCTCATCCCTCCTAGAGTCTTCAGGCCGGCATCCGGACCCAAGCCAAGGCGTAGTACGGTAAGATACCTCAACGTCTATGGTGTGGAGCACGTACCTCGAACCCTCACCTTAAGACTCCTCCGTTATCACCGTCTCGCCAGCGGACCGTGGTCTACACACAGTGTACGGCTATGGATCTCCTCGCCGTCTCCAGCCAAGTCTGCCGCCCGGAAAGTATTCCCGTCGTCCTGATCAACCGTCCAAAACCTGCGGCCGCTGCCGGTCTTCGAAGTCTCTGGGAGTCCGTGTACCTGAATACGGTCGAATGGCGTTGGAGGGTTAGGGAACATGAAACGCACCACCTCATGGCAAATGGACCCCCTTGAAGGGAAATTGTTCTCAATGGAACCGCCCTCTTTCGCTGCGACGGAGGAGGCACCCCTAGGACCAGTCCGGCCCATTAACGGAAAGTCCTATGGAAGAATTCTGCTCAGAGGCAATTGCTCCGAGCCTCATCTTCTTTTCCTATTCTGTTTTTGTCGCCCTGGCCAGGAACAAGGGCGGAGCAGATTGGGATTTTCATGAATTCCTGCGCCCTCGGGTCATTCGACTGCCTCGCTTCTGCCCGTCAGAGACATGCACATACGTCAAAAAGGGACGAGGCGGGTCCTTGCACTTTCTCAAAGCAACAGCGTCGCGACCTCTTTGGAGCCAAGAAAAGTTGTTTGAGCAAGTCGGCCTTAAGCGTTCTTTTTGATACTTTTTGCGCGGCGACAGGGTCTCGGGGGTGGCAGCGGGGAATGCCAGGCGCTCCATACTGGACGTCATGTGTGTGCCCATGTCTTAGGCCGAGACTTGATGTTTGTTCAGAAGAAATACCTAGATGTCGTCTTGGACGACCGATTGACTTTGAGCTCTGGCTGGCGTGGCACAGAATACGATTGTGCAATACGGGACCACAGACGTCAGCAACGTCAGACCGGCAATAGAAGACGGAGGTCGCCCGACTCAGAGACCTATGATCTGCAACGTTCCGTGGCATCGGACTGGGGACAGTGGTGGGAGCGTTGATGGAGGCGATACTACGGTGATGAGGTGAGCCAACAAGGACGGCGCGTGGCACCCAGATTCGTTGCTGCCGGGATTGCGGCGTGGACTAGCAGCCGAGCCCAGGATGTGTTTGACTGCTGGACAGCCGAGAGAAACCAAACAGCCAAACAAAGACAAACGTTGGGCGTGTCCGGACGATCACTGTCAGAAGGCTGAGAGTTGGCTTTGACGGCAACTCTCACACGGGACTTGGCGGGTTGCAGTTCGGATCTGCGGATGGGCTTGCGATGTTGCGGTGGAAGGATGATGCCAGGCACAAGAGAGGCTGATGAGTGATGATGATGCTGCTGCTGCTGCTGAGAGAGCAGTCCAACACACCAAACAGGCAGACGTAAATGCACACACAGCAGGCAGGCACAACAACAAGTGTCGACTTGGGGGCTCTCGACTCAGTCAACGGAACGCATCAGGTCGTGCCTAAGGAGCCCTTAATAGAACCTTGAGTCTCCATCAAGATCTTTAAATACCTGGGGGCGTTTGGTACCAAACCAAAGACGGGCAAAGTCAGGTACCTGGGAGTACCTACATGTCCCGGCAGCCAGAGTGGACTGTGGTTCTCTTGGGCACTTCGTTATCCATCGTGTGTGGGTTGGGGAGAGGGGACTGGGCTGTCAGGTACCAGACAGTGTTACGGTGCAATTGCCCAGTTGGAGTTCCCTCGTTCGCCAGCCCCTTTCACAATAAACGGGTCACAGGCCACCGTGCAGAGGGGAGACCGACAAAAAGTGAGGTGAGGTGAGGTCAGGTACCGCACAGTGACAAGATGAGCCCTACGGATGACTGCGCAAGCCACGTGTCTCGAGGTGTATTCCCGATGTCCCGCCTGATGTCCGAGGTTCCTCTCTCCCATCCCTCGTCCTTCTTCACCCCACCATAACGAAGGCGCCTGCAGCCTCCCCGTGCTCGTCTCCTCTAAAAAAGTTTCCCATTATTTTTTGGCCTGGTGCTGGGCCGTTCCCTACAGGCCACCCTCCCCTACAGATTGCTAGCCCCCTACACCCCCATGCACAAGCGAGCGGAACACAAGCTGCGTGGGATCCCATTGGCTGAGGTCGGCTGAAGGACAAGCCCCTGGGCGCAGATGCAGCGCGCAGTGCAAGGCGGGCATTTGGCAGTGGGCGTGGGTGGGCGGAGAACAGGCCAGCGCAGCGACCCGACGGAGCCAGTCAGTGCAGGAACAGCAGCCCCAAAATGGGGGGGAGCTGGACACCATCAGTTGGCCCAACTGGCACTGCACCACCTCCTTCAGCGCATGTGTGAGGTCCAGTGGGCTCTCGCAGACATGGAACTTAAGGTAGGTACCTACCTTAAGGTACCCAACTCTGAGGTCCTCCTTGGGCTGCCAAAGGGCAATGGGTGCCCTGAGGACCGTGAGCAGCGGGCTGTCTCTGCAGGTGGGTGGCCTGCTTCTGCTTTGGACAGTAGACCGTGAGGTGCATTGCTTTGCTTTGCTCTGCTTTGCCTGGGTGCCGCTGCCGCTAATGCTGGGTGCCCTGTCCACTGCTGCCGTGCCGCTGGCAACTGCCTGCATCCCCATCACTTCTCGCTCTCCAATCCCCATTGTGGCATTTCCCAAAACCTCCTTTTACATTTGCGCCAAGGAGAGGCAACGAGCGACTTGATACACAGGAGTCTTTCCCTCCAGCCTTGTCCTACCGTTTGCTTGCTTGCTTGATCGCCTCAGTATCCTTTCACTCAACCTCGACACGTTCTCTCAACGTCAAGACCAGCCTCGGCGCCAGCAACAGCGACAGTCTCAGCGCCGTATCCACGGACAAGGCCCGCGAGCCAAAATAATAATAAGACCCCCCGAAAGAGACGAAGGCAATTCGAAGGGGGTCCGCCCCGGGGAGAGAAAGAAAAAAAAAAATAATCAATCCCCTAAAATCCAACGAGCCAACCCCCGTCAGCAAACCAGCTTTGTACGCGCGGAGTCGACATCGTCCCGTTTCTTTGCCCAACCCAGCCTCCTTCTCTCGTTTCCTCACCCCTCGCTCCCTTACTCGCTTCACTGCGCCGGCGAGGAGGACCGCAAAAAAAAGGACGAGGTCGAACATCGCAGGAAAGTCCTCACCAGGCAACGCGCGCTCGCTACTACCCCGGACAACTCCACCGATGCGAACCCAGCCATCCGCAAACTCGAGCCTCGACTCCCTTTCCCGTTCTTGCGTTCCTGCATCCGCTGCATCTCATCGCGCTGCAGCAGTCTCGACTCCATCGAACTGGCGATAGCACCCCGACGCAGCAGCCCCTGCATCGCCCTTACTACACGCCAGTCGACTTTTACAGCATCGTCACACGAAACCATACATTTCAAACACGACCGACACGATCCAATTGACAACCCCTTCGAGGCGCACTGAAAACGGCCAACGTCGAGCGATCTCCCCCCGTCCACTGCCGCTCCAGCGTGCAGGCTGTGATCTGATCCGTCATGGCGTTCCTTTTCAAATCAAAGAAGAACCAGGATCGAGCTCTCGCAAGCCGCGATGTCAACTCAGGTGGCGGCGGCTCTCAAAGTTCCATTCAGAGCGCCAGCGCGAGAATAGCAAGAGAAGAGAAGAACGCTACCCAACGCTCAACACCGACGGGCAGCGTGGGCTCCATCGACCATGATGGGAGCGCTGGTGCTGGCAGCCCCGACGTGGGCTACGGCCGTCAGCGAGGGCCCAGTGTAGACCAGACATCATCACAACCGCCTTCGAGCGATCTCCCGGTAAGTTTGCTGAATATTTGCGGGCGCAACGTTCTTACCGGACACTGCTGATTGACTCGGATTTGCAGCTTCGAAATGGCCCCCCAGTTTCCCAGCAAAACATTTCGCCTCAGCAACAGCAAATGATGAACCCAAATGCGTCGCTTTACCCCTGGTCGCAACGACGACTAACTTACACATCATCGCACCCGAGTCCCTTCCCCCGATATGGCGCCGCTGTCAACTCGGTTTCCTCCAAGGAGGGTGACATTTACGTGATGGGCGGTCTGATCAATAGTTCAACCGTCAAGGGCGATCTCTGGATGATCGAGGCTGGTCAAAACATGGCTTGCTACCCTCTTGCGACGACTGCTGAGGGCCCTGGCCCAAGAGTTGGCCACGCGAGTTTGCTTGTCGGCAACGCCTTCATTGTCTACGGTGGTGATACCAAGGTTGACGAGATGGATGTTTTGGATGAGACACTATACCTTCTCAACACATGTAAGCTGCGCCGTCACAGCCCCAGAATAGGAGTCTCTTCGGCCCTGAACAGTAACTAACTAGAGGCAGCCACGAGGCAATGGTCACGAGCTCTTCCCGCCGGCACCAGACCGTCTGGCCGTTACGGCCACTCCCTCAACATACTCGGCTCCAAGATCTACATCTTTGGTGGTCAGATTGAAGGCTACTTCATGAACGACCTCTCCGCCTTTGATCTGAACCAGCTGCAAATGCCAAACAACCGTTGGGAGATGTTGATTCAGAATACCGAGAGTGGAGGCCCGGCTGTGGGCAAGATCCCCGCCGCCCGTACCAACCACTCCGTGGTGACGTTCAATGACAAGATGTATCTGTAGGTATCGCTGACAGCCAACGAAGCGCGAGATACTGATAAACGGTGTAGGTTTGGCGGTACCAACGGATACCAATGGTTCAACGACGTTTGGAGCTACGATCCCGCCACGAACGAATGGTCACAGCTGGATTGCATCGGATACATCCCTGTTCCTCGGGAAGGCCACGCCGCGGCAATTGTCGACGATGTGATGTACATTTTCGGTGGACGCACAGAGGAGGGAGCCGACCTTGGAGACCTGGCCGCTTTTAGAATCACATCCCGTCGCTGGTATACCTTCCAGAACATGGGCCCGTCACCTTCCCCACGCTCAGGTCACAGCATGACCACCGTTGGAAAGGCCGTAGTGGTGGTCGGAGGCGAGCCCAGCTCATCACCCGCCAGCGTCGGCGACCTTGGCATCGTCTACATGCTCGACACCACCAAGATTCGATACCCGAACGATGCACAGGCTCAACAGACAGTCGGACAACCACAGCAGCAGCAGAGGATACAAGGTGCAAGGAGACCCAGCGCAGCGGCTGAGACTAGGAACCTGCTCTCTCGCGATGGTTCCAACGGCCCCCCTGATCAAAGAAAATTGGTTGGGGCTCCTCGGGAAGCCAACGCGATGAGCAGCCCTCCCAATGGCATGAGAGGACCCAACGGAGCGGAACCCAATAACAACCCAGCCGCTGTTAACAACATGTCCAAGGTACCGAGATCCGCCGCCGCGTCGCCTCCCGCCGGACCGCCCCCTTCAGGACCCACACCCGCGAAGCCTAATCAGCCTTCCAACGTTGGCAGAATCCGCGGGCAATCGTCAGAGAGAGATGGCTCGGTCGGATCTCCTCAGCTTGCGCAAAGTCAATCGCCAGTCATCAAAGAGGTCAAGGAGCCGGGTCCTAAGGAGGCCGAAATCCCTGTGACAAACGGCCGTCGCACTCCCCAGGAGCAAGTGAAGAGAAGTGGCTCTCGATCAGAACAGGGGCCTAGCGAAGCTGCGAAGACCAAGTCCAGACAAGGCAGCCGCTCTGGAAACTCGGTGGATAGCACAACTGAGCCCGGATTGAAGGCGGTCCAGCCTCCGCCCCAGTCGCAGCCGCAGCCTCAGCCCCAGCTTCAGCAACTACAACCGCCTCCGCAGCAGCAACAACTGCCTCCGCAACAGCCACCACCTCAACAGCAGCAACCGACACCACCGCAGCAAGTATCGCCGCAGCTGCAGCAACAGGTATTGCAGGCACAAGCAAATCGCCCTGCATCCCCGCCGCCTCCCACCCGTCAACCCAGCAATCCTCTGAACCGCAGGTCCTCGGGCCGCAACTCCCAGACTGTGGCTTTGCTAAAGGAATTGGATACGGCCAGGAACCGCAATGCTTGGTATGCCTCAGAACTCGAGCTTGCGCGCAAGGCGGGATATGTCCCGAACGCAAGCTTAAGTCCTGTTCTCGACAGCAGGGCCGCGGAGACGTTCGATGATGAGGACAAGCCACTAATTGAGGCGCTCCTAGCTATGCGCACAGAGCTTGCCAATGTCCAGGCCTCCGTTGACAAACAAGCCATACTTGCCGCCAAACAGATCGCCGAAGCCGAGAAGCAACGCGACGCTGCCATTCAAGAAGCTGTCTACGCCAAGGCCAAGCTGGTTGCCCAAGTTGGCGGCAGCGTTGCAAGCACGCCGCAGCTAGATGGCGAGCGGGATGTTGATGACCGTTCAACCGAAATCAGCCGCAAGCTGGCTTACGCCTTGAACTACCAGAAGGATCTCCAAGCCCAGGTGGAAATGCTGAAATCTGAACTTGAAGCCGAGAAACGCGCCCGACAGCTCGCTGACGACACAACGAACGCTTCTCAGAAGCGCATGAGTGAGCTCGAGTCGTACAAGACCATGACTTCAACGGATTTGGAGCAATTGAAGGCGGAGTTGCACATGGTTCAGAAAGAGGCGAGGGAACAGGCCGTGCAGTACACGGAGGCCATGGCGGCCATGCAACTACTCAAGGTTGAAAGAGAGGACTTTGAAAAGAAGTACAACGAATCAGTCGGTAACTCGAAGGAGCAAAACAACACCTTCGACTCTCTGCGCGAGGCGATGGCAGCGTCCGTGGAAATGAAGGCGCATCTCGAGAGCAAGTTGGAGGAGGAACGCGCACAACGGGAGAAGCTTGAGTCTAAGCTTACCAAGCTCAAGTCCGAGCATGAGACTAGAACTGCCGAGCTTGTGGCGGCGACACAGAGGCTGCGCGATGCTGAGGAGCTGGCCGAGAAGCATGCCAATGAGGCTAGAACACACCAGCAGGCCATCCTCGCCGGCTTCGACAAGGTTACCACGAGAGATCTCGGATCCGACGGCAAGGCCGACTCGGAGAAGCTCAAGGCTCTGCAGGAGCAGCTCAGTGCCGCCAACGCACTGGTCAAGAAATACCAACAGGAGGCAGACTCAGCCGCCGACAAGCTTCGCACTGCCGAGGAGCGCATCGCCGGCCTTGAGGTTTACCAAGAACAATCCAGTCGTGAGGGTGTAGCCATCAGAAGACAGCTTCAGGCTGCTCTGAGGGAGACACAGTCTCTGCAGGCTAGGAACTCGGACCTGAAGCATCAACTCCAGAACCAGCAGCTGGAGACCAATGCCATGACGGTGCAACACAACACCCTCAAGGATATTCTCGTGGAGCGCGGTATTAGCCCCACAAACATGGCCCGGACTCGCAGCATCGGCAGCCCCCGTGTGAACACTCCGGAGCAGGCACGCATCCGTGATCTCGAGGATCAACTGTCTGCCGCCACCACTGCTCAGGAAGAAAGCGCGCAACGCGCGGTCGCGCAGCAGGAGGCCACCGAGGCCGCCTATCGCGAGAAGCTCACCCAACTTGAGAACGACTATCAGTCTGCTGTGCACTATGTTAAGGGCACTGAAAAGATGCTGAAGCAGCTGAAGGAACAGCTCTCTAGATACAAGACTGAGAACAACCGTCTCAAGTCCGAGCTCCTTGAGCTCGAGGAGCGCGTGGAGTCTTCTGGTGCCGCTGCTGGAGGAGATGCCCCTGCTAACTGGGAGAGTGAGCGTCATATTCTGCAGGAGAAGATCGAGAGCCTCGAGGAAGACCTTCAAGCCTCGACCGAGAAGCTCGAGAACCAGCTGCTCACCGTCAGGAAGGAGTTGGAGGATAGCAAGAAGCAGCGCGAGGGTGCCCTCAAGGACGCCGAAGAGGCCTCTCGCAAGCTAGCCGTGAACCGCCGAGATCTGGAAGAGCTCCAGCAGGAAAACAACCTTCTCGAGCGCCGAGCTCAGGACGCCGAGCAGAAGGTCTCACTTCTCTTGGACCAAGTCGAGTCATCCGTTGACAGCTACCGTCGTCAGAGCAGACAGGCCCCCAGCATGACTTCGGAGGAGACGGCTAGGCCCACCAACGGGAACAGCATTGGCCACCAGCGTCAGGACAGCTCTGACGCCGAAAGCTCCTACGGCGGTGCTGGCGGTGTCGAAGGGCGCAACAGCACTGCTTTGGACAACTTGGCCAACGAACTCGAGACCCTGCGCACTCACTGGGAAGCTACCAACAAGAACTACCGACTGAGCAACACCTTTGACTTTGAGGGTGCCACAACTCCTACGAGGAAAGACGAAGAGGTCGGACTGGGTCTTAGCGAGAGCCTCGCCGACTGGCGGAAGCGTCTTGACGTTGACGAGCAGGCGGATAACGACCGAGCGAAGACCAAAAGCCGACCCGACCGGCCTTAGTCTGGCGTTTTGCGGCGGATGAACTCTCGCTTCGCTTCATGACGGCCGCCAGGCGTCTTCCATTACCTACTGTACATTCTTTGACTGCTTCGGGGCAGTTGTTCCCAGGCGGGAGGAGTTCACGGGATTTTGGGGTTTTGCTTTTCATGCACCACTGCTTCTGGTTGACTCCGGTCTTGGTTTCGCAATGATTCCACGTATTCATGACGAAACAACCTTCGCTTTAATTCCCCACGCGCTTTCTGATTTTGATTCTCCTTTTTCTTTTCTCTGCGCATGGACTTTTCTGATGATACACTACAATCACGACCAGTTCTGCTTGCTCCTTTGGCCGTGGACACGTACGAAAGCAAGATGGGGCGCGACAAGGTCTATTTTATTCTCTTAAGATGGGTGGATGAATTGGCAAAGTTGGCATACGTGCCTGCTTTTTAACGCTGCTTCTTTTCTTTCCTTTCTCTAAAATAATGTACAATATTTTTGTGCGGTTCTACGCTTCCCGCAGTTTTACTTGTTCCGAGAGTGCTTGTTTCGGACGTTGGTCAAGACGAAGAAAATTTCAAGGCAAAAAAGACGAGACGTTTTGATGATCGAGACGGGCGAGCTGGCTCGGAAACAAAAAGGGGAGAGATGAAATGCAAAGGGGATCAATAGGAGCCTTCCTTTTTCTTCTCGGTTGATTTTCTGTGTTGAGAGAGCTTTACTACCTTTTTTTGTTGCAACCAGTCGGACCTAGCGGCTCGAGGGAGCTGGTGGTGGGCTTTTAGGGATTGATCAATGACGAGACGATTGTTACCCTGAATGTTGTGATAGTGATGTGTGCCCTCATTGCAGTTTTGCGTATGCTGACATCGGCTGCGTGTCGACCTGTGAAGACTCGTAGGCAGGCAAGGGAGTGTGACGTGGGCCTCGGGGTGCGGGTAACTGACCTCCAGTTCACCTTTGACCACCCCAAGCCATATAGGGTGGCTAGTGCCCAAGACTCCTCACCAGCCCTACACGAGCTGCTTCTGATGTACAATTCTATTTTCTTCTACTCGTCCTTCACTTGCGGTTCGTGCCAGAGACAAGCAGGACAACGCTGCCCAACTGCCTCCTCAGATCCTCCTTCTCGACATCGTGCGTGTCCTCGACCTCGCCCCAGGACCCAGTCTGCCACGACACCTCCAGACTGCTCGCCGTCGCAGCCTCCTCGACCCCGAACCGCTCCACCCCGTCCACCCGGCCCGCGTTCGGCCCCTCGCTCCACTCCACAACCAACCGCGCCGCCCCGATCAGGCTCTTGCCCGCCAGCACAGCTCTCTCCAGCCCGGCAATCTCCCACGCGTCCAGGCCCATGACCCAGCCCTGCACGACCTCCCGCACGCCCTCGGCCTGCGGCTGGGGCATGATGGCGTCGCCGTCCAGCACGGGGCCGATTTCGATGCCGGGCCAGACGTGCGTGGTGAGGAACCCGACGACGGCCTCGGCGGTGCGCTTCTGCACGTCGCGCAGGCTCTCGCCGGCCTCGTTGCGCGTGTCCGTCGCGCCCGGCGGCGGCGCCCAGCACAGCAGGCTGTCCGTGTCGAGGTAGCGCATCACGGTCGTCGCGATCTGCTGGCGGATGGCGGCGGGGCCGGCGTCGTCGGCGGCGATGTCGAGCGCGCGGCAGACCAGCGAGGTCAGCGGGATCAGGTGCTGCTTCGTCGCCTGCTGCGCGGAGGTGAGGAGGTCCCACTCGATTGCGAGGGCCGAGGCGAGGTGCTGCTTCGAGGGGGGCAGGCGGACGATGGCTTTCGTGACGGGGTGGCGGAGGGGGCGGGCGTCGAGGTGGATTTGGAGGGCGCCTGTTGAATCATGTTGTTAAAAACCACAAACGAGAGTCCGGGGAAGAAGGATGCATGCGTACCGTCAACCTCGTGCACACTGACATCGTTCCAAAACCTCCTTTTCAGCCCAGCAGCCCTGGCCGCCGCTCCCCCGGCCTTGGCGTCCGCCGCGGCGCGGATGTTGGTCGCCTGCTTGAGCATCTCGGCCTGCCTCCTCCTCCGCTCCGCGCGCGCGCGCAGCTCCGCGGTGCGGTCGTCCTCGGCGGTGGGCGGCGCCGGCGGCGGTCCCGTGCCGACTACGGGGGCGACCTCGGCGGGCTTGAGAGGGGTCGTCGAGATTGCGCGGAGGCATTGTCGTCCCGCCAAGGGCGAGCTGCTGCTGCTGCCGGCTGCGAGCAGGCGCAGGGGTAGGCGTGCTGTCGGCTTCATTGTGTGTGTGTGTTTCGCGAGACCTGCACCGAGGGAAGTTGGAGTGTGGTGTAGAAGCTGTTGAAGCTACGGCGCAATGTACAACTGGACGTCAATTATTTTTTGGTAGCCTCGCGGCGATTTCCGCCCGTGAACAGGGGTCTGATTGGCTGCATGCAAGGGTGACATCAGACGGGAACTAGCTCAGACGATGAGTTCGGTGAGCGATCGGTGTACGAGATGGAAATGCAGTGCTACCGTCGTTATCGTCCATCATTTTTGGAGCATGCCCTCACGTCCAATTCAACAGAGGCAATTTTGAACAATGCTTCTTATAGCTACGCTTCTTAAAGCTGCAAACACTCGGCATCGCGCCTCGCTAAACTTCTACGCCCAGGTGTAGTAGTAATACAAATTTTGAACTCGCCCAAATCCATTAGTAAGGCGGCTTCGTGACATTCCCCAAGCTGAGCTCCCCTGCTCGGCTGTCAATCCCATTAAGAAGCTCGTGCAAATCCATTCCTCCTCCCGAAACCATCGACATGTCTCCTCTGTTTGACCCGTGATACAGACTGTCACCGCCCCTGCTGCTTAGATCCCTCCTTGCCGGCTTCACCGCATAATCCTGGATGGATATCGAAGAAGTGAGCCCGCCGATATGCCCTGGTAGCGGCGGCACGGGCGGCACCTCCTCGCCTTCGTTCTGCTCATACAGCGGGTTGGAGTTTAGCGGCCCGCCCTTGCTTGACTGCGACGCCGACCGTGTGCGGCCTAGCGATGCCCCACCGCCGTTTTCTCCCTGTGAAGTTGCCGGGTTGAAACTGAGCTCAGATGGCGTGAAGTCGTAACTGACCATGCTGTCGCTATCACTGTCATGGTGCAGCCCGGCCGAGGTGCCTATTGGTGTCGCTGGTACTTGCCCTGTGAGAATAGCCTTGAGCTGGTCGACGGACGCGACAATGCCCCTGCTAGAATCAGAGGGAGACGGCGACACACCACTGCGGACACTGCTCTTGCGCAGCTTGCTCATGGGAGACAAGCCACCGTGTGTCTGTGCGGTGTTTGGACGCAGGCCTTGCTGGCTGCCAGCCGGTGAGGACGCCCCCGTGTGGCCGTTAGCGCCATTGACCATCAAGTGTCGGTTGGTTCCCATAGTGCCGGTCTTTGAGCCAGCCAACGACTCCGACTTGCTTCCCGCTTGGAGGGCCAGCATCGCCGACTCTTTCGACCATTCCGCTAGCATGTGCTCGCGGAACACTGTGGGCAACTCGTTTCCAGGAACAGCAGGAACTGTGCTAAGCGACGAACTTAGGATCGGATGAGAAAAGTTGCGTCCGGGAGATTGGGGTGGGCTAGACGGTGGTGAAATACTGGTGTCGATGTAGCTTGCGGCAATGCTCTCAACGAGTGATGTTCGGTCATCGAATGGCAAGAGGGCTTCCGACTCGACCTCGTTGGCAGGCATCTTGGTGAGCGACGTGGGCACGCCTGGAGTGATGGTCTCCATTGGTGGTGGGGGGATGGCAACGCCCTCGGTCCAAAAGTGCTTGCTGCGGCGTCGAATGACCTCGTTCGTAATCGCACGACCGACAACGGAGTTTTCAATGTCGAATCGTTCGGTAACGGCCCAGAAATACCCATGGGCGAGACTGCCAAGGCGTACCTTCTGCACAGGTGTCTCAGCGTCGGGAATGTCTTCCTGCAGACGGAAAACCATGGGCAATCCGTACTGAACTGCATTAACGCCCAGTCGGATTACCAGCTTGTTTAGGAGCACATGTAGCAGAACCATATCGTAGTCGTAGTCAACATACTGCAACGCATTGTCGTAGATGGCGATATGGAGAAGCTGCAGGAAGTGCGAGCGATGCCGGGAAGGCTTGTCTCGGTTGTTGGAGGCGCTGGAGGCAGCCCGTTGAGCGGCGCTACCGGGTTGGAGCTCGCGGCTGTTCTTCAATGACGATCGGTGGTGCTGAGCGTTCTCATCCCGAGCCTTCAAGTCTGCCGCTGTGGTTTCTCGGTCGAGCCATGTTAACAGCGCATCAACATACGCCTTCCTGACCTCGCCATCCGGGTCTCGCAGGAGCCACTGCGTGTTTTCCCATGTCTGGATGGGAACCTTATTTCTTGACAGATTCAGGTTGCCAGACATCTGCGCCCTCGGGTTGGCTACAAGAAGAATGTTCTTGATGGCCTTCAAGGCCGCGGTCTTGGCCACATTACGTGAGAGGTATGTCTCAAGATGCGAAGTCTGGCTCCCGTTTGCGTCATCCTGTGAAACTGGCTCGGCGTTCTCTGCCTGGGGCGACGAATTGGCGCTTGAGGACTTGGAAGGCTTCAGTCGCAGTAGAATCGTCGAGATCATGTCTGAAATCTGATCCGCGTAATAAACGTGTGTTGCCAAGTCCCCAATGCACGACTGGATGCGGTCAAGCAGTTCCCGCCTTTGAGCAGCGACTTCTGCAGAAGCCTGAGGCGAAGAAGGTGGCCCTCCGTCGACCTCTGCTTCCCCCTTACTGAGCCCTCCAGGTAGTTGGATGAGCTTCTTCATGTGCTGAATCAGACCCAGCAAGACATCCATTGCGCTGAGTCCGATGAGATTGACGTCGGACCGCAGCAAAGAACCAATCATGGCGGTCAAGACCAGATGTATCTTGAGATTGTCGTCCTTCACGGGAGCCTTTACAAGATGATCCAAAGCCGTCACCAAGATAACATAACGGTCCTGCACCGGCGCCCACCGTGCAACGGTGTCGTAAACACTGATTGCCCACCCGTGATCCTTGGCGGATTTCTCGTCTGTCTTGACAACGGAGTCGCCATTTGCAACACGTTTCTCGATGAACTGGAAAAGAGCGGCGGTGGCGGAGTGGATTTGCGGTCGATTGGGCGTGATGAAGATCTGCTTCAAGCACTGCAAGGCGAGCACACCAACATCCTCTTCGGCGAGCTTGTCGACGTCCATGGCCGTTCCTGTCAAGGCAATGGGGTTTGCCTCGCCTGTTTCGCCAGTCCCTTGAGTCGCAACGCTCGTCCTACGGCGAAGCTTTTCTGTTTGGACCTTCTCCTCCATCCGTATCCGCCCAAGTATGGTCTCCAGAAGCTCGTCATCGTCCCACCACAGATTGTCCAGTATGACGGGAACAATAACATCAAACTGACGGCCAGTAACAGATGATAACGCCTCAGATGAGGACACGCTCCTGATTGCTTCCAAGCCAGCGTTCCTCCACCGCATCAGCACGGGTTTGCTGGAGGCTCCCTTTCCAGGGTTTTGGCGGGTGGAGGCGAGGGAGGCATAAGTGCGGACGATGGATTCGTATTGGGCGAGATAGGCTTGGTCGGCGAAGGAAGACGACGTATCGTGGTTCTCGCAGAAGGCTTCGAAAGTAGGGATAGATGATTCGACCATAGTTATGTCCTTGGAGCCGAGGATGAGGTCGAGAATTTTCAACACATTGGGAGCGACAAGTGGCAGGTCCTTCGGGGCCTTTTCGATCAAGGCCGTAAGGATTCGCAGAGTCACTTGAACATTTCTGAGCGAAGAACGGTCAGCAAAGGGCTCATATCTCGAAAGTCACAGGGGGCGAACCCGATGCGCTGACGCCAGACATCGCTGGCTGTCTTTTTCTCCAGAAAGGACCCAATCTTCTGGATTTTGGAGCGTCGCGAAGTAGCATAGAACAGCAAGTAGCTCAGCTCGCTGGAATTAGGCTTGACATCAACAGCGCCCTTTGTCGTCCGCGGATAGCACTTCAGGACCAAGACCTGATGCTTCGGGCGACATTTTTGCTGGATCGCGTTCATGGCGTCGGGGGGCTCGGGGCCCGGAGAGCAAGGGAAGTCGAGGAAAGACTACCTGGTGGCTGGTAGCAGCGTATGGCAGCGAAAAAGCATCGAGGTTGGATATAGCTATTTGGAGGCGGCGCGTCAAGATCTTGAAAGGAGAATCGGACGTCGGCGTCGTCGGTTAGGATCGCGAAAAGCAAGGAAGGAGTAAGGCATTGGAGAAAATAAAGTGGAAGCTGGCGTAAGTAGAACCAGCGGCGGGCGAAGGAAGGGTGTGGCAGACAAGACACCCGACAGAAGCAGATTCCAGTCAAGGTCTAGCCAAGCCAAGCCAACACAGGGGACGACGAGTCGGACCGGGGGTGTGAGCGTGGGTAGATTGAAGCGTGCTGGGTTCCGTATGAGAGGAAAGGCACCAAGAGGCCCCGGGTGGATAAAGGGAAAAAAATTAGGGACGTGGCTGGCCTGTGAAAATCGCGCTTCCCAGGTCGTGGAGGACATGGGTGGTGACAGTGGTGCAGGTCAGCAGCGAGAGGTGCCACGGGGCGGGAGCGCTTGCCGGACGGACTGCGGACTGACGACTGCAGCACACTGGAGCTGGAGGTGGGTGCTGGACAATGAGCCGAGATGGCGGGCGACGTGAGCTTGCTGTTGTTTTCCACCTTACGGCAGAGTTCCTACTGATGATACCTTAGACCGACCTGCCCACAACACCACCCTCCAATCCTGCGATTGTCGTCATCACCCAGCTCCATCGTCCTGCTATTGGCTAGTTGAGTCACAAATCAAAATGATCGGAAAAGGTTGACTCTCTCATTTCATTCCATCTCAAGATCGAGTCTCCAACCATGTTCTGGTCACCTAATGAAAAGGAGAAAACGCTGAAAACAAAATGCAGCTGGAACACATGCTCAGACAAGCGTTGGCTACGCTGCAGGTGCCAGGGACTACCTATGCCTGAAGAAATGCACATGGCGCGGTGCCCTGGTCTCGTGTATCTGAGTCTCAAGCATGTGCGAAAGAAAGACGCGATGCGACGTAGAGAGGGAGACATTCACCTGATGGCTGCAAAGATGGCAATGATTAATCTCGGGGAGCCGTCCCAGCGTCCGATGCACCGGCTCGCAGCGGAAACGCGCGTTTGCTCAGTCGCACGTCCAGCACGGAGGGAGTCTGGGATTCCCACCACTCGGTCGCCCCTTTGGGGGCTAGCGTGGCCCGGTCTGAGCTTCGAATCTCCTATCCCTGCAGCCCTGTGCTGGAAGAGGGGCAAAAGGGGTTTGGGGGATTCCCACAGCGTACCCGTATCGGCGTATCCAGACCTCATTACGATGGACGGGGCTGCAAGATTTGGGGTAGGTAGGGGAGCACTATCGAAGGCTATTGCGGAATGCCCAATTTGCCGAACCGGTATCTTGTGTCGATATTACGATGGCCACCTTCGCCAAACAATACGAGACAAAGGACCAAAGAATGGAAGTCAGGTATCGACAAAATCGCCAAAGAAGCAATCCATGCCTTGCCATTTCCACCCGGCAGGATTGGCAAGGTGGCCTGAACAGCTGAAGAGAAAGCTGCAATGCTACCACACCTGAGCTGTCTGACACCAACGAGCATGATGCTGTGCGAAACCAAGAACAGGCACACCTCCCTTCGCCTCACCATGCCTGACCATCCATTGCGGTTGTCGCTTGCCATTTCTCCAACTTGATGCAGATGCATGTACAAATACTTTGCCGCCCCCCCTTGACTGTCATTGGGCACCCGTTTCATCGCCGCTATGCCCTGCCCTGGCATGCACTGAGACCTGCTGCCGACGAACTCACGATGCGGCGGCCCCAGTTGCTTGGGGCCAAACATACAGCGATCCTCCCTCTATTTTGGGCGTTCCGGTTCTCTCTGCCAGGTGTTTGGGAGTCGAGCGTTACGTTTGGAAAAGTCTGGGACGGGTAGATGCCTGGGATGATCCCGCCTGTTCGGACTGCACTTCATACAGGTGCTCAGACGCATCTACACAGGCTCTGTCATGGCCTCCGCTTGTTCTCCGGGCCAGGCAGCCTCCGAAGCAGCTTACCTCCGTAAAGCCGCCTTAGCTCATTTCAGGTAGACCTGCAGCGCTGCAGAAGTTCGTTTTTTCCTTTTGTTCTTCCCTCTTTCTCATCATATGATTGAGATGAGGCATTTCGCAACGCGTTGAAGGTATGGCCGAGTAGGTTGTCGGCAATGGAAGGTCTGTGCAGACAGGAAAGGGCCGGGCATGTTGCGTCGAAGCGTTCAACCGAGTGCTTCTTTCCTTCCTTGCACCTGTCACCACCTCCCCTCCTGCTGCATTCTGCAAGCCTCACATCAGGCACCTGCCCATCGTCCAATTGTTCACGAAGGCAGTCACCGCCGTCTCGTCCGATGTCGTCAGCATCCCGTCCCATCCAAGGCAACCCGCCCCCACCCCCGCGCATTGCTAGCACAATCTGCGCATTCCCAACTGTTCCAGTAGCTTAGCTCTGCCACATGGGCCTCTTCTCATCCATTTCCTTCTCCCCTACTTCTCAACATGTGTCCCTCTCGTCTTCCCACCTTTCCTTGTTACTGAGACCTGCAGCTGCCACGCCTCATTGATCAATCATTCGAATACCAAATCCATCGGAGTAGCGGCGGTGCCACAGCTCCTCTGATTGACAGCAGCCCTTGATTCTTCGCTCGCATCTTGGCATGTGAAGTCCTTTCCCCCCTCACCACATGACATTACAGCCCCTCAACCCCTCTAATGATGACAACTCACCACAAGCCTCCACTTCGACCCGGATTTCCCCCGGATTATTCTCTCAACCGGCCAGCTGCTCAGCTCTACCACATGTTCTTCGCTTGAGCATAGAACGCTGTTCCCGCCCTCTCCAGCCCGACTCAACCCACTTCATGCCATCGCCTACATGTAGGTGGGTGTCAACAGGAGCGTTTTAGGAAGCAGATCACATGAAATGGTCCTATTCGAGCCTGCTCGAGGCATCTCCCACCGTATCCACGACCAATCATCTATCGATCCGATCTGCGTGTGTGCCACTTCTCCGCATCCCCCGCTCTCTCCGGGGGTCATGGCATCTCCGATGATCCCGATGCGGCCGATCACACGGGGCGCCGTTCGTGGACACCAAATTGCAGGCGGCCAGCTGACATGCCGAGTTCATACGTGACCTCGGACGACTAGGTTGTTCATTATGTACCGTTCCCGTCGCCTGCCCAGTGGCCCTCCATCATAACCATTCTTTCCGAACACTTTCCTTGACAGCTGGGTTGAGCTCTCACTCAGCTGACAAAACATAGGTCTATCATGGATTACACGGCACCTTGAGGCACCGCGTAGTAACCGTGCGATGGCTCCTGCTACGATATGAGAAGCTATCTCAGCAAACATCATCACACGGCGAGCAATGTCGTCACAACGGCCGTAAATTACCCGGGCGCCCTCTCATTCTGCTTTCGCCAAGACGTCACCGTCCTGATCTCAACGTGTCCGCCTCCACGCGCCAGAGGGGCACACCAAGGACGCCGCTGGCGACAACGTCGAGGACAGAAACGGCACAGATGCAAAGTTCCGCCGCCGTGGTTCTAAGCCACATGGCATTCTTCAAGCCTAAGGAGGCTATCTAGAGCTTCCGATGGCCAGCACTAGGGTCCATGATCGGCTATCGTTGCCGTCTCTGCGATTTATCCGACAGCATGGTCAGGATTATTGAGCAAAAGACATCGCTCTATTGAACAGACAAGCACAAGTAGGTCATCAAGCAAGTGTTTGGCCTTGCGGCGCAAGGTTCCGAAGACAACTCTAGCAGAGATGAAGTCGTGTCAGTCATAGCTGATTGGTCCCTGATTCAATGCAACGCACCCCGGACAACTCAACTTTGAGTGGATCCCATTGCCGATCCCACTTCGATTTCTCTGGAAGGTGTAGTCCACCGAGCTCACCGAATCAGAAAAGTTGGGACGGACGATTCGGACACGAACACCCCCCATACAATTATGGTTGATGGACAAGTGCCGGCGGGGGTACCCAATGGTTGCCGCTATTATAAGTGTCGCTGCGTACGGAGTTTGCTCCGGGCTAGGCAGAGGCTCACGGTCTCTTCAACGACACCAAGTGGATTCACTTCTAGCATGTTTTCATCAGTTGCGATAGTCCCGCACGTATCGACTTGAGCGTGCCGGCGATAGAATCGTCTCCACGTGTCGTCCAGCAGCCAGGCTCGACTGTTTTCTACTCTCGCACTTCCGTGTAACCATGCAATATCGGTCTTCCCAGAAGTCTGGCCCACGGCCAACAGCGTGTCCTAATGACGGCTTGAATCCCAATATCCAGGTATTCTTCTGACGATACCTGTTGCCAAGAAACTTAGTAGGCGGTGGGCGCGTAGCCAATGGGGGCTGCCATGAGGAGGCCGTTGCTTGCCGCGTTCGGGGGGGTGTCTCACATTCCAGACATGGCTGTCTGTTCCTGTCAATCGAAAATATCGTCGAAGCCGAAGAGGACGATCACTTTGACCAGAATTGGCTCCAACTGGGCTTCAGGATCTCAAGAAGACCCAGTGCTTACAGACCCTATCTGTCAACATGTCTGAGTGTGTCGGCCAGAACCTCGCGTGGCTGGCGCAACGCATGGAGTGACCGGCAGGGGATAGATCGCATGCAGAAGGCTCCGGAGCAGGCACGTTGGCTTGTGGATATCCGCCCTGCTGGGACCGTCTAATACGGAAGTGATGGACGTCCAGAATTACTTGGCCACGCGGCTGAAGAACTACCGAAAGTGATCTGGCCAAGGGACGGAAGACTTGCAGTGAGGACGGAGGCCAAAGAGAGAGCCGCATGCAGTTGTGTCGAGAAGGAAACGGCGATGACGACTGGCCATCTCTTTATCGACCTTTGAGCCCCAAGCAACGCCAACCACCCTTAGTGCGAGCGCGGGTCGAGGACCGGCTGCAGCCTCACCCTTCTCGCCCTTCGACCAACAACAGGCAACCCCACCGCCGATTACCACCAACACAGCCAGACCTGTCCCGTCTGGTCCAAGCTGAGCGCTCTAGAAGCTGGCAATCCGGGGTGGCGCCTCTTTCTTATTTTCTTATTTTTACTTGAGTTGCAGCTCTTCCCTTCCCATTTTGATAGCCTTGTCTCCTCAGGGTTTTCATCGCCTTCAATATTCAAAAGGGATCTTCTCACCTTCCCTTCTCCAGCTTTGCAATCCCAGGATTCCGCCATAGTCAACCAGAAAGATTATTTCATCCTCGCGTCGCCCAGGATGAAGTCTGGAATCCTCGTCGCCGTCGCCGGCGCCGCTGCGGTGACCTCGGTCACTGCCTTCTCCTTGCCCTTTCACTTCGGCCGCCGCACCGTCCAGGGCCACGGATACCTTAGCATTCCGGTTAACGAGGTCAAGCCCGACATGAGCGAGTTGTCTAAGCGCGATGCTTTCGAGGTTCTCATCAACAATCGCCAGTTCTACTATTCTATGGACAGTGAGTATCACTAGGGTCCTTCCTTATATGAACTCGACTAACGAAATCCACTTCATAGTCATGATGGGTACTCCGGGTCAGAAGGTTACGGTCCTTCTCGACACCGGCTCCTCAGAGCTCTGGGTCAACCCCGACTGCAGCACCGCTTCCACCGCCAGCCAGGCCCGTCAGTGCTCCGCCGCCGGCCAGTATGTCCCTCGCAACAGCAAGACCCCGCCCATCGGTCCCTTCGATTCCCGGAAGCTCAACTACGGCGACCCTTCTCAGCCGTCAACCCAGACCAGCGCCGAGATCGCCTACTACAGCGACACCATCGGCCTCGGCTCCGGCACCGTCCTCAACCAGACCTTCGGGGTCGTCACCAAGAGTAGCGGCATAGCAACCGGCATCCTTGGCCTCGCCCCCGACCTGCGCAGCGGCTACGCTCCTGGCAAGCCCTACAGCCTGGTTCTCAACAGCCTCAAGGACCAGGGCGTCATCAACGTCCGCGCCTTCTCCCTCGATCTGCGTCACGCCGGCTCGGACACTGGTGCTCTCATCTTTGGCGGTGTTGACCAGGGAAAGTACATCGGTAAGCTCGAGAACGTCCCCCTCATCGCCGGTTCGCGCAACGAGCCTCGGTAAGTTTCATCCCCTTTGCCAAAATCATCCCGTGTCATTCTCTTCTAACGAACCCCAGCCTTGCCGTCACGCTTGGTGGACTGGGTCTCTCCCTGCCCAACGCCCAGGCCAAGACGTACACCATCTCCGACGACGACAAGAACGTGATGCTCGACTCCGGCACCACGCTCACCCGCCTCCACCCCTCCCTCGCGAACCCCATTCTCGCAGACCTCAAGGCCACATCCGATAGCGACGGATACTGGGTCGCCGACTGCAACCTGCGCACCCCGCCCCTGTCCAACGGCGGCAGCGACGCCTACGTCACCTTCCAGTTCGGCCGCAAGGTGCTCCGCGTGCCCCTCAGCGACTTCATCCTCGATATCGGCCCCAAGACGGGCGTCTGCTACGTCGGCCTCGTCACTACCAGCGACCAGCAGATCCTCGGCGACAGCGTCCTGCGCGCGGGCTACTTCGTCTTCGACTGGGACAACCAGGCCGTCCACATCGCGCAGGCCTCGAACTGCGGCAAGGAGCAGATCATCACCCTTGGCAAGGGCACGAGCCCCGTCCCGGACTCGGCCGTCGGGCTCTGCGAGGGTCCCTCGGGCGACGTCGACAGCAGCAGTGGAGGCTCAACGACAGTAAGTACCACTACCACCGCCAAGCTTCAAGTATCGACCGGACCCATCGACGCCCACGATACTTCCTTTTCAATCTCCTTTACTTTGCCGACCTACGGGCCTGTCACGCCTACTGCTTCTGCCTCTGTCTCTGCCACTACCACTGCTGCTGCGACTGCTCAAGAAACCTCAAAGACATTGACACCTTCTTCTCAGACGACCTCCTCCTCCGGCACCGGCACCGGTACGCAAGGCACATCCTCATCCACTACCTCCTCGAGCGACGCGCACTCTGCGGCTTTCTCCTGGGCCTCCGACTCCAGAGACCTTTGTCTGCTCCTCGGCAGCCTCATGACGTTGGCGGCTGTCCTCTGGAATGTCCAAGACCCTTTCTTTGGATAAATGCTTTCATTGAGCTTTATTCTTTCCTTCAACTTGGTCTTGGGTGGCTTCTTGCTTGGGTGGCTTCTTTGCTTGCAAATTTCTGGAGTGGAAAAAAAGCATGGCTTGGCTTGGTTTGCTTTGATTAAATGAACTGATTGCATATGAGACTCGAAAAAAAGGGCAGATCGGGTTCTCTTGGTAACGCATGCTTGCATTGGGAGGAGTGTGGAATATTTTCTTGGCATTGGGGCTAGGGTAGGGGACTGACTGCATCGGGACGGCCTGGATTTGTTGCGCCTGAGCTGATTCAGCCAGGCACCGTTTCTTTTCCCTTTTTCTTCGCTTTCACGACCCGTTATGATACCAATGAAGACGAACAGTGGCTTTCTGTAGCATAGACAGACAGCCTTATTCCAATAACGATTACTTCACATCATCTCTGCTTTGCTGCCCATCATCGAAATGAACCCATTTGATTCTATTCATCCAGCCAAATCTAAGCCAAGTAGCTAGATCTGGTTTACCACCAGGAAGCGCCGCCTACATAAGAAAGTCTCTCTTTCTCTCTCTCTTCTCCTCACTGTTTCCTGTTCAGGGTCTAGAATCGGAGAATTCGCCGAGACACCAGCCAAACCCCTTCCGGCTGTGCGGGCAGTAAGCAAACCAATAAGCTGGATTCAGCCAACAACGACGACCCCGTAGAAAGAAGGCTGGCTATCTTCACCCGCCTCGCTACTCTCGCCGAGTGGAAAGTACCGGTAGCCTGGGTTCGGAGCGCCCCTCTTACAGCTAGAGCTCAAGTTTAAACAAGCTGCCTCCCCTCTCTCGGCACCACGTCTCCCGACAAGGCGGAGAAGACCTGGGCCTGTGGGCGGTGAATCCCGCCAGAGACATGTGTCTCAACGCTCAGCTTTGATTTTTGGCAACTACCTAGTCCCCTCGCCACGTGTGGCCGGGTTTGACACAAACCTGTTTGCATCGAGAGGCTGAGGCCTACTTCAATGGCAAACGGGAGCTCGGGCATTCTTTCTTCTTGCGAGACACTGCGGATACTATCTGGGCAGCTGGGTTTGTGTGAAAATCAGATTGCACTACTGAACGAACTAACTTTTGGGTATCTAGCTAAGAGCAAAGTGTTCAAATGCCACTTGAAAAGAGCCGCAAAGGGCGGCAGAGCTATGCTATAATGTGAAGAGCAAGATAATTTGGCGTGAAATGTGGCCGATATATCGTCTCCAATGACGAAGTCTCTCCTCACGAATGCACCAGCCCCCCGCGCCAAGCTCTTTGGTAATCGCAAACGCAAACGCAGAAACGGCAAACTCAAAGTACGCCTCATCGTTCCATCTTCTCGGGACCGTCGTCTTCTTCGCGTTTAAGCCTTGGTCTTAGCTTTCTTGTTGGCGGCAGTGACGCCGGCCTCGTCGTTGGCACGCTTCCTAGACTGGGAAGGCTTGGGGTAGTCCCAGTCGGCTGGGAGGTCAGGCAGGATGCTCTTCTGAATGGCATCGGCCCGCTTCTCTTCATCCAGCGTGTCAAGGACGATGTTGCGAGACGTCAGAGCGAAGCGACGCATACCCTTGGGGTCGACCGAGTGCTACAGAAAAGTTAGATGGAAGTCTTCACAAAAGGGGACGGGCAGTCAAACCTCGTATGCCTGATGGATGCGAGTTCCGTGCATCACCACCATATCTCCGTGGCGGACAGGGAACTTGAGGCAGGGGAGGTTGTCCTTCTTGACTCCCATGTACTTCTTCTTGGAGCGGAAGAGCATCTGCGCAGGGCTGCCCAGAGAGAGGGTGGCCACTGTAGGGCCCAGGGTGTCCTCACCATCATCGTGGAACTGCCATCGCATTAGCCGCAAGAAGAATGATTGGACCTTGAAATACTTACGCTGATTCTGTCCTGCTCCATGTATCCCAGAGACAGCACCTCGTTGAAGTCGACGAACTCCTCAGAGATGGTTCCGCATCGAACCGCGTTCATGTTTGCCTCTCGGAATGAGGCGTTGGTCTTGTCGACAGTGATTCTGCCAGCCCATTGCATCCGCTTGAGGGCACCAATGATGGAGTTGGGCGCATCACTGAAGGGCTTCGAAGCGACTGCAACAGCGAACTTGTAGGGAGCACCCCAGTTCTGCATGAAGTGGCGGGTAAGCTTCTCGCTCGGGTCTGCAGTAGGTTAGCCCAGTTCTAGTCAGGAAGTTCTCATCAAAGGGGAAAAGACTCACGGTTAGGGTGGATGGCAGGCTTTCGCTGAAGGCCAAAGTCGTTCGTGGCTGTCTCATGGAGAAGGTTGAGCCACATGTCGTCCGGGCCGCCCACTTCAGCGTTGATGGCCCTGGTCGAACGGAAGACGGTCACAGATCCAAGAACTACCGAGTTCTTGATGGGATCAGGAAGGAGATACTGCTCGGCGGTGTATCCATTCGCAGTGTAGGTCTTCTGCAAGATCTGAGGGGTGGCAGTCCAAGGCTTTGAGAAGACCATTTTGGAAGTACGATCTTCCTCGGCGTGAACATGGCTCAACGGGTAAGGTGCAGGCTTGGCATCCAAGATGAAGTCGCAGTCTGAGGCCTCGTAAGCCCAGCCTGTCCAAAACTTGCGTCTCGAGCAGCAGCCACACTTGGGGCAGACCATGCCAACCCGCATGCACTTCTCCGTTCCCAGGGAGCCGTTCGCCGCTGTGCCAGGAAGGTTGGGCTTCAAGAGGAATCCAGCTGGGAGGAAATTGTTGGTCCGCTCCTGGAGAAAGTTCTCTGAGTAAGTCAGAGACTCCTTGACGACTCCAGTGGGGAACTCGAAGTAAGCCTCGCAAGTCTTGTTGAGGCAAGCCCATCCATCAACAAAGATCGTCTTGCTACCCACATGGCAATGTCTACACCAGGCCAAGTGAGCGGCGCAGGGCGAGGCGAAGGTAAGATCTTGAACGCTGATGTTGGAGGCGAAAACAAACGCTGCGTCGCACCTGCCATTCAGACAAGTCCAGGCCTGAGAGAAGATCTGGTTAGAATCGGTGTTGCAGCTCGTGCATGTGCGCGGCATCTGGGGGAAACCAGGGGTCAAAGAAGTTGGCTGAGCCTCGGGTTCCCACCAAGATGGCGTGCTCCGGTCTGTCTTCTCGAGCCGAACCTTCCAGATCGAAACACCCTCGGAGGTGCTGGTGTCAATCTCAGACCAGATGTCGGTGATGGAGAAGAAGTCCAGCACACTGTAGACATGATTGGGCTTGAAAGATGCCAGGGGATACTGGTCACCTGCCAAGGCCTTAGTAAATGTTTCAGACAGACTGGGGAGACTGGCTACTTACCAAGAATGACTGCGATAGGCAGATACTGCTCCTTGGCAGCGATAGCAGCCTTGACAAGACCCTCAGTAGCTGCGCCAGACTCAGTTCGAACGTAGACTCCATCGTCATTCTTCTTTCGTCCACCTCCGCTGATGTCATGTTAGCGTGTTTTTTTGGAAGGATATTGGTGATGACTTACATAGTAGTGATGACGACCTCGGCACTAAGCATATCGCGCACAGAGACATGCTTGTTGATCAGAATGCCTCGGGCGATCTTTGAGTTGGTGTACATGCTGCTCTCGTGCGCCTTGTAGTAGCCCACGCTGTCGCAAAGAGCCTGGCGGTTGTCAGCCCAGACCGGGGCTGTCTTGGAAAGGACCGCCATCGTTGAATGAGAGTGACGGTGAAGATGAGTGCACAAGGGGGTTGGTTGGTGGGAAGAGGTCTCCTAACGTCAACCCCAAGTATATATAGCAGTCCTCAGCTGTCTAGATTGACATGCAGAGAGGCGTGCAACGTATCCTTGGAATTGATCGCTTTGGGAGGAAGGGTGCTCCTGTGACAGAGAAAAGGTCGTAGCAGCTTCAGGGTGCTGGTTGAGCCTAGAATGTCTGAGGTTAGCAGGCTGATGAGATACTGATCGAATGTGCAGGAAGTCGAGGGCCTGAGGTATGGTAAGGTGAAAGAACACGCACTGGGTCAGGTACTGGCAAAGAGTGTGGAGGGTGTGGGCGGAGGCAGAGGTCGAAGGTGGGGAGAAAGCGGAAAGTAATGGAAATGTGGAAGAAGGTTTGAAGGACAGCAAGAAAGACCGAGCAGTTCGGTTGGGAACTGCGAAGGAGACGAAGGAGACGGGTGAACGAGGGAAGGCGCGCTGGGAGTGGTTGTTTCGAAGCTTCCAGAGGCCAGAACAATGAAGTTTCCGAAGGAAGGCGCGTCCAGGGTGTGAAAATCTGGGCATGGCTTCGTTCTTAGGAAAGATAAGGTCGTTCTTGCAACATCTGACGCGACAAAAAGGGTGAAAGGGGGGCAAAGAAAGAACGAGGGATGGGAAGGGATGGGAAGGGATTAGGAAGGTGCGCGGGGACCCGGAGGAAGACTTACCTTGACGTCAGAGACTTGGGTGTTGAACTTTAGTGATGTAGGTAGGTTGGTACTGTATGATGTTAGATTGTGAAAGAAAGGTTGGAAGAAGTCATGTGGTGGTGATGGTGGTTGTCGTGGTAGAGAATGAAAAGGTGAAGGGAAAGATGTGACGGTGCCTTTATAGACGGTGGAAGGGACTCTGAAGGGGTCACGTGGGCAGGGGTGACGAGCAGAACAGGAAAGACCGCGCCTGATCGTGCTAGGAAGGAGGAAGGGGGGGGGGGGGAAGAAGGCTTACCTCAACGAGGTTGTGGCTGTGGTTGTGGTGGAAGAAAGGAGAGAGGGGTGAGGAGATAAGAGGGTGCTTTTATAGACGGCAGAAGGAACTCTGAAGGAGTCGCGTGGGTGGTGGTGATGGGCAGCACAGGAAAGACCCCACTCGTTCTTGCAGGATGCAACACAATAGCACTGAGGGTAGGCACGAGCAGGCATACGATGCCAGGGAGCACAATATTTCACCTTAAGGATTAGGAGTAGCTGGGCATCTTCGCGATATACGACGCAACGGGGAAGAGAATGAAGGAAGTGGACAGAGAAGGGGGACAGAGAAGGGGGACAGAGAAGGGGGACAGAGAAGGGGGACGACGAGGAAAGGGGACGACGAGGAAAGGGGACGACGAGGAAAGGGGACGACGAGGAAAGGGGACGACGAGGAAAGGGGACGACGAGGAAAGGGGACGACGAGGAAAGGGGAC